AGTGTATTTTATTTTCGATAAATTTTCTTTAACCAAATTTCATTTTGAAGAAATTTCTATATTTTCTACAAATAAAACAATTGAGTGTTTCAATATTACCATTCCATAAACTTCATTTTCTTCGAAATTCATTTTAGAAAATAAGATTTTTATAGGTTAGAAAGGAAAGAAACTACAAAGAATCGAGTTTAAAGGAAAATGAAATGTGAACAATTGAAGTGTCGGAAAAAATATATAGTTATATGATAAGTAACAATATTATTGTGTAAAATGTGCAACATGATGTTCATTTATTATTGAAAAATACACCAAGGTAAATTTATATTTTAATTTTCTCGACTATTACAGGGTTAACATAAAAACAAAGAAACTATAAAAAGTGATATTGTTTTTTCTCATATTAAGAGTCGCCTGAAAATGGTACAAAAATTTTCATTTCTGTGATTTCTTTTCTTCTACTTTTGCTTCCTTATTTGCCCTCGTTATTCAATATCGATCTACCAGCATGTTGACATTGTGTCTTGCCTGGGATCTCCTTTCCATTTCTTTGATGCCGTTTCTTTGCACGATCAGTAGCTGGGTTAAATCAGATTCCAAAGAACAGATTGCAATTGAGAAATCCATTCATTCGCAAATAATCGACAATTTTAAAACTATTCTAAAAATAAAATGATTTAACTTGAAATTTCATTTCTGTTTCTTACTAGTCGTTTTATCAAAATTACACATTTCTCTTTCGCAACAATGTTTTTGAAATGTTCAATATTTCACTGCATATTGAATTTATCTTTTAATATACACTTAAACATTTGTTTGTATTTGCAAATGCGTGTCAAATTGTGTAAAAAAAAATATATATAATAAAATATCGCACAGTATAATCATCACTGTAAATTGTTCTGTGATTGCACAAATTGAAAATGCTGTCCCTGTTGCAAAAAATGTAAATGAAAATTTGCTAAAAATTCCAAGCGAAATAATTCCATTTCGATTTATTGTAGAAATTACATTCGTGCATACATTTTTTTCTTTTTTTAGTTGCATAGGTGAAGCGAAAAAGGTTTCAAATGTAACGAAATTGTAATCTCAAACAATTAGTAAAACATAAAAAATAAAGAGTTGCAATTTTTTTGTTTGTTTGAAGAGAAAAGTACAACAAAAAGAGAATTTAATTTATAACCTTTAAATTTGAAATATAGTAAACTTCAAAAATATTCGGAGAAACTGAATAAATTTATGAATCTTTAAAAATTGGGAAACAGCAAACTAAAAAAGTATTAAGCACTACTATAAATACTTGGTTTACGATATGAACAGTCACGTTCCCAACTTTTAATATTAATATTTTTCATATACAGTAAAAGTTCTATAAGAGTTCCAAAGTCGGGACCGCTGTGTAACAGCTACGAAAAAGGTGCTAGGTTTCTCAAACTCTTTGTATTTTACCGACACCGACGGACGCAGAAAGAGACAGCAGCAAAGAAGAGAGAGATATTGAAAGTCCAGCCAGTCCTAAAATATCAAACACCTACATATCGGTGAGACAACACTAATACAAAAGAAAAACTTTTCTATTTTTTGTGTTTTGTTGATAAAAATTTTACTAACATATCCATTTTTTTTTTCTGATTAAAATGAGACTAAACACGGTATAATTCGGTGTACATTTAGTTACTTAATAAGAAATTCACAAAGGAAGATTCACAAGCCCAATCGACACAACCAAGTTTTGCAACAATATCGTGTTTGGTATCATTTTAATCAGGAAAATCTCACCAATATTTTGATGAAATTTTTATTAACGAAAAATTGAAAATAACAAACTTTTGTAGTTTTGTTAGTATTTTGTCTCACGGACATGCCGACGCCGAATGCGATAAAGAGATGCCGTGGCCGTGTCACATTAGTCGCTTGCCTGGTTCAAGGGTGGTTCCCCCTTGTGGTGGGGATAGACCATGAACAGTCATGGCGTAGATCCGAAAGAACTCTTATAGAACTTTTACTGTATCTCCACTTTACGCTCCCTCTAGCTTTATCGCTCTTAAAACCAGTATTTCAGAATTTAAATGAAATGTTAAAAACTTTTAAATTTTCTTCGCCTTGTTATAAACAGCAGAAAAAGTATCGAGGAAAATGTGATTCATTGTTATTCTTCAGAGAATCGGAATAAAAGAAACAATACTTAGTTAATACACAAGCTAGTTAAAATTTGGAAAATTAATTAGCCAATTTCATAATTCAAAGAAAATCAAACATTCCCAAAACCGCATAAGTCATTATATTTTTTAGGTCATCCCATGAGTAAGATTCTTTTATCAAGTATGCTAGTAATAAGTAATAAGTATACTTTATTAGTTATTATTGTATTATATATTTTCCTTCGTCTTTTAAAAGTGTTTTCATTTTTACCAAATTTACATACTGAGAAATTTCACGACTTCCGTCAGCTTTGCAAATTATTTTCATTCTTTTTTGTAGCACCTCCAACATTAACCAGTAATATCTGTGATAATATAATCACTGTGGTTACATTGCTTTTCTTTTTCTGCAACTCTATCATGTTTTTATTGTTTCTCCTTGCTTTTATTTTGACAAAATATTCCACTTGAACTCGTCCAGATTTTATGGCCATAAAAATTGACCTCTATTTCCTTGTATATGTACTTCCATGGAATAAAGAACAACATAAGGATGAGTCAGCTAACTTTAGAATCTTCAATGTATTTCTGTATACTTTAAAGGAAACGTTTATAAGAGTCAAGTTATTAAATTCAAGTAAGAAAAATAGTATTTTAATAAAAGTTTAATCTCCAAAGTTATAATTTTAAGAATTTCAAAACTTCAGCATTGTTTTTCTTTTTCTTAATGAATTTGTACCTTTTTATTGCTATGGTGTTCCAGTTAGCAAAAGAAATAAATTATTTTAAGATACTATTATTAGGAAACAAGGGTTAAAAACATACCGTTTCAGTAACCTTCATTTTTGTAATCATTCTTTTTGCCAATGCATCATTTTACGGATATTGTTCCGAATGACCCCAGTAGCCGATCGAGATGAAACTTGGTGGATGTTATGAGGGGTGTGAAAGGATCCCAAACATAAAATCTTAGATTCGAGAATTCACCCGTACGGAAGATACAGATTCTAACCTAACTTAACCTAAAAAATCTGCGAGTTACGTATATATCAAGAGATGAAACTTGGTGGATGTTATGAGGGGTGTGAAAGGATCCCAAATATAAAATCTTAACTTCGGAAATTCACCCAAACCGAACCGAACAAAATTCACCAACATGGTTTAGGTTAGTGTATTTTCCAAACAGGTGAATTCCCGAAACAAAGATTTTACATTTAGAATCCTTTCACACTCCTCATGACATCCACCATGTTTTACTCTCTTGATACATATATCACTCGCAGATTTTTTAGGTTAGGTTAGGTTAGAACGTGTATCTTCCAAACGGGTGGATTCCCGAAGCTAAGATTTTACACTCAGAATCCTTCCACACTCCTCACAACACCCACCAAGTTTTATCTCGATTGACCACTGGCGCCGTACGGAACAACAGTCCATTTTATTTCTCAAACATCGCCCAACATAACCTGACTCATCTTTGTACACAAGCAGTTTCTCTTCCCCGCATTATCTCCTCCTTCCACCTTACTCACAGCGGGGGAAAAAACCTTCGGTTATATGTGGGATGGCCTAACGTCTCTCCTAACGCCTCATTTGTCCTACGAGAGTTGTCCAAGTGAATAGCTAGCGATTCGTTTCCCCGGTAACAAAGAAAAGAACCTTTTCTAAGAGCGAGTGCATGGCGCAAGGTGACGGAAGTGCTGGACGACGGCGTGTCGGGGCCAACGGGACGAGTGGGCGATAGCGACGGGGAAATATGACACGAACGTCAGCCCTCGTGGGCAAGCGAGTCGGACGAGGACAGTGAACCGGAACAAAGGACATGTCAGATAGCGACGTTATCTTAGTCGTTGATGGCGGACATAGGGAACATCAGCTTTGGTGTTTCGCGAGCGGTGCCAAAATTTCGGCCTCTTGCACGTCGTACTGCAAGGGGAGGTCGTCGTAGCGTCTTTGCGGAAACGTAATATTGGAAGGAGAGGAAAGAGAGAGGTCTGCGTGTTTGAGAAGCTTACAGAAAGTTTTATGAAAAAAGAAAGAAAAGAAAAAAAAACACTGGAACTTTTCGTAGGGGAAAAGTTCGCGAGCCAGTTGGAACCGAAACGGTCGCCGCGAGCGGCTCGCTGGAAAATTGGGTCGGAGGTCCGAAAGGTAGACTCGAAATGCGTGAAATTAAAGTTCCGCAGAGTTTACGGTTTTCTTTCAATGTAGCTGGAGTTTTGTACGAGTCGATATGCTGTTTAAAGTGCTGCGTAGATTTAGAGAAAGGAGAAATGTTTCTGTGAATCGGCCTTAAATCGTTTAGAGTTCCTTTTGATATGTATAAGCGCAACGTTGAGCGCCTGTTTAGATGTTGATTGAAAGAAAACCGTTTTAGCAGTACGTGCTTCGTAATCCGAGGTTTCCAATAATCTTTCATTTGCATTCTTTTGAGCAGATCGTTTTTAACGGCTGATCGCATTTTATGACTGTGAAGAGAAATTTAAGAATGGTATACGGTAGAATTTGATATAACCGCGGTCTGAAAGAAAGTTATGGATTGTAAAATCGATCGTAAATTTGAGAAGTTCGTAATTAATTAAGAAAATATCGATGATATTTTATGGAGTTTTTAAAAAGAATTATTACTTATTCTATTTTATTTCATCGATGATCTTATATCTTTTTTTACCGAATTAGTTAATGTAGTTTTCATAATTTCGATATTTTATAAATATTTTCTTTCTCATTTTGTGAATATTTTCTATTCTTTTTTTATTTCGAATTACGTGAAAATGAAATTATTCACGTGCGAACTTTTCTGCAAACGAGAAAGAGTGATTTTTACTTGAAATGAAAATTCATTTCAATTTTCGTACGAATCATACTACAGCGAGCGTTTATTTTTTAAATTAAAGCTTCTAATACTCCAGTGCATTTCTATTTATTTAAAAAAATATATGAACGTAAAATGTTCGGTTCAGGTATAAATTTTTTTATTCCTGTATTTTACTATTTTGCTAGTAAATACAGCATGACTGAGAAATTTTGTGGGTTTACATGTTATTCTTTAAAGTATAATGTTGAGAAAGATAGTCAGAAATTTATGATCAATAATTTAAGTGACCGATAGAGTATGTGATATACAAAAGCGATACGTTTAGTTTTACGTATGTAGCGTTAATTTATGAAAACGTAATTATAGAATTAATAGTAGCTGATAGAGTCTAGAATAGATGTATCGAAATAACTTTGCGATTTTTGAAAGAAAATGCGTAATTGTTTCTTATACCTTAGTACAAGTTGTTGCTACGATTGTTGATAATTGTATGAACACTATTTATTTATATCTTTGCTTGTTCAGGTGGAAAGAAAGAAAATGAAAGTAACACGTAATTAACATGAAGAAATTTAAAAAAAAAGAAAAGGAAAGAACTTCGCTTGCCTTTATTACGAACTATGCTCGGTACAGCCCATAATTATTCAAATGACTCTGGCGTCGCGAAAAATAAAAATTAGGATTTTGATACGAAATACAAATGATTTCTAATTTGTAGCATTACAAAATTTATATAACGTACTTGTTAGTAATAATTTAAATTAAAGAAGAAAAATAGTAGGAATATATAAATTTTTATAAAAAGAAATATCAGAATATAAAAAAAGTACCATTGATTAATTGGAATATTCATAAAGCTCTACACACCTTCAAGGAAACATGGTTAGATATCTAGAGAATTCTAGCGATTCATACTACGCCACTAGTTCTCGTCTGATCATCGAGATTAAACTGTATTGGATGTTTCAAGTACATACTTACTTACATAAAGGAGTAGTCACTTAAGAACATTTCAAATCAAAAGTTCCAACTCTGTTTAAAACTGTAGATTCCAAAACAATAATATCATAACATATAATATCAATTAACATAATAAGAACAAAAATTATGGTTTTATTAAATTTTTAACAAACAATAGATGTAATGCAAAAACTATAATAATCAATAATAGTTAGTGTATATATCCCAATGAACAAGCTCTAGTTACTTTTGTTTCATTTTATATTTTTGTAACATGAGAGTACTGGACAGTATTAATAACTATACCATTAAATAAATTTAGATTTTATTATCATTTGAATAATTATGAGTGGTTCGTAGGGATGTGTATAACGAAACAGGTAGAGGTAGCTGAGATAAAACAGATGAATTATAAATGCGTTGCTTAGACTTAATGGATGTATATTTATTCATTACAAATGGTTTTATATGTAATAATACGCGTTGTATCACATTACCAGTTCGTACAGTGTATGGATGCATGATGTACAAATCAATAGTAAAATTTCAATATAAACGATGGATATTTAAGTATAATATACAATGTACTAATTAAATTACTGTACATGTGTGGCAGTTGATAATAAAAGTTCGCAAAAATGTATTTACTAAGCAGTCGTTTTGTACGACTGATTTAGTAGAATAGAATGTTCGTTTTGTTACAAACGAAATTATAGTTTGCTTTTATTGTCTTATCCTAGATCTGTCGAAAATACAATATATAGTAATGAAGGCCGTCTAGTCCAAGTTATATATTTGTAATTATACAAAAGGTAAATTAATTGCTTTCTGATACAATTGTGCAATGTAAACATATTTTTAAGTTCCTTGAGGTATCTGTAATTCTCGAAATAATGTTTCATCAATGTTATTCCATTAAGTTCAGTATGATTGTTTGTCGTAAAATGTATATTAAAAAAGCAACTAACGATATTATCAAACTATTAAGTTTCGCATCTAACAAAATTAAGAGCCTACATTTGTACTATTATCCTGAAAACGTATAAAATTGATAAAACGAAATTAATTTGAAGAATGGAAATCTGCTTGCATAATTTAGAATATTTACATATTGAAAAACATGCTAATAAATTTATGCTAACAGTAAGTCCTTTATATTACGCGAAAGTATTTCCTTTATTGTATTTTGCATTCAAAATTTAATGAAATTGTTAAGTTACTGCTTTAATGCAACATACTCTACATATGGTAACTAGCATTTGAACTTTAACTACTATGACCAGCTAAAATCACGTGAAAACTATTTACGTACATAGAAAACAATGTTGACTTTTTATGTGAGTTTTAAAGTAATTTTCATTATCTATAACTTGTACTACCTGTTAAATAAAAAGAATCAGAAGCACCATGATGGTCTTGTTCCTTCACAGACATTGTGTAATAGAAAATAAATGTTTAATTTTTGAGTACATATAATGGCAAAAATATAAAGTATATGTAAGTTAAATATGTACATATATAAAGCTCCAAGAAATAGAACAGAATTTAAACAACAGCTTTCCTACTCTGGGGCTGAACATCCTGATGCTTCCAGCTCATTAATTCATCTAAAACTTCAACTAACAAAGGATTTCCACCTAAACGTTGAACCTCATCCCTTGCTTTCTTATCTAATTCTTCGAGCACAGCTCTTGTATAAGCAAAGGATCCAAATTTTTCTAATAAATTCACACAATATCGTTTCACTTCAATATCCTTAGTGCGTTGCCTAAGAATATCTTTATTAACATTAATTAAGGAAAAATTATAATAAAATAACATCTAGCAAATGTAGTTAACTATTTTTCAATAAAGGATACTTATTAGTTGTCTATCTTCTGGGTGACTTTGTATAGCATGTATAATAGGAAAACTGAACTTTCCTTCAGAAAGATCTTCACAGTAACTTTTATTTTCAGCATACTATAAAAGTTATTATTACATACTATAACATCAATGTATTTATTAAATCTAAGAACTTACCTCTTGAAGATATAAGTTACAATAATCATCACGAATTTGAAAGTAAAGCCCTAAGATCCCACCTAAGGGTGTATAGTCTTCTTTACAATCAGAAAAGAGTTGCATTAATCTTACAGCTAGATTGAAAAGTCCACCTGTTTCTATAGGAAAGAATTCAAATATGTATCAGTGACATATTAAAGTAGTTTGAGATTAATTACATAAGACTTACTTCGTATTGTCATTTGTTTATATGCAGTTTCAGATGGACAGATATAATTATCTCTCCAATAAATTTCCATACCCTGACCTCTATGAAGTTCTAACAACTGTTCTACATATACTTGTGTTCCCTAACATTAATTTTAATAATATAGTTAAAATTCACAAAAAAATATAAATCTTTATAAAATACTATCTTCACCTCTGAATGGTTTAAAGCAAGTACTCTTTCCAGAGCAATAAATATAACATAATTTGCAGCAGTTATTGTGCTTGCTATG